TTTCCTCAACTCTTTAAGTCATGAAAGCCCCGAAATTTCAAGCAAAAGTCTCAGGGGCTAGTAATCAAATTTTCCGGGGGAAATGACCCAGACTCTTCCTGCCGGCTACGCGAACACTGATACTCTAATTATTCACATGCGACTTTTCAACACTGACACTCTTTAATTATTCTCATGTGATTTTTCCACACTGACACTTTAATTATACTCATGCGACTTTCATTCGTGTCTGGAATTTATAATATGATTAATTTGCATTACAATCTAATAGCAAACTAAGTTGTTTTTTTTTTTTTTTTTTTTTTTTTGTTCCACCCCCATGCTTACATTAAAACTGTTTTCCCGCAATTTATTTTACAGTTACTATTGGAAAAATATTTCTTTAAATAAGAAATTAGAAAGAAAATATTTCTTTCTTAATATTTCTTACCCTTTTTTTTTTTTTTTTTTATTTTATTTTTCTATGAAATTATTTCTTTCAGGAAAAGAAATAAAATTCATTCGCTATTACAGTATGGACCGATTGCTGCTGCATTCAAGCTATCACACACGCATCAAAATGTTTTATTTTAAGTAATTTATTGTATAATTAACATTGATAACTTAAAAAATAAGAAAATTTTTTTCAATATAAAATATATAACCAAAATTATACTAATCTCTCCTGTATATGTGATTAATTCGTTTTGCAATTTTTGTCAGACAATTACTAATACCTTTTTTTCAACATTACATTGCTGTGAGATTTTGTTCTGTGAAAATAATTAAAATATTAATATTTTCACAATGAAGAGTACTAAATAAAATAATCAGTGTAGGTCTCTTGCAGTGAAGTCCTGTAACCACGTTTCGACATTTTAAAAAAACTATACTAATCAATTCCTTTTAAATATAAAAATGAAAAAAAAACAATATAAAAATTACAATAAAATGAAACATTTTTTTTTTTTTTTTTTTTTTTAGTCCAAAGGGATTTGAATCCCGAAGGACTATTAGTTTCGTTTTTGGCATTTTGCGTCGGACGGATAAATGTCGGTTCACTTTTCAAACTGTTGCCCATAAAATGTTAGAGTCCTGCATTATATTTGAAGAAATTAAATAATGAAAAATCTGCGTAAATGTATGTATTTTTCTCGCATTGTCATAAAATAACGGTACATAGAGTCATCGAATTTTGAATAACGTAATCCTCCAACGAATATGAGCATGTGGAAGACCAAATTTGAAATTTGAAATTTGTTTTATGATCGATTTCCTATTTTTTAAAACTTTGACGAATTTTTGATTAACAAACTCAAGGATTTCAAAGCGAGCAATGGCAACGTTGTGCAGAAAAAAACATTTTTATCTCCAGCGCGTGAGTCTCTGTATCGGAAATTCTAAAGATATGCTCGTTTTAAAACTATTTTGCGATATTGCTGTTGCACTGGATCTTATGGTTTAAGTGCGAGGAACATGATATTTAATAAAGAAAGGTAACACACAAAATGTTAAAAAAACGCCCCTTTGGACGTAATTTAAAATCTGAAACATTTCATTTTTTTTTTTGTTTTTTTTTTTTTTTTTTTTTTAAGTTTGCAAAGAAACAATGATTTTTAATACTATAATAGGTTACAAAAGTACTATTTCATGAACAAACCTCAGTCTTATAGCATGTTACTTTATATCATAATACAATAATAATGTAGATAATTTACTAACAGCCCACCAGCCGCCGGCGTAGAGTCGCTGAACGCAGGTAGTTTGGTCCGAGGTTCGAATCCCGCGAACGAGTTGGCCGGTGTTTTCGTGACTTTCTCCATGTGTAACGTGTATACGAGCCAGTTTCCCTTAAAAGTCCTCACTTAGAAACCAGTTTTTAAAACGTATTAAAAATTACACACACACACACCCACACACACAAAAAAAAAAAAAAAAAAAAATTTGAAAGCGCTTTTCAGATTTTATATTACGTCCCAAAGGGCCACTTTTTTTTAACGTTTTGTGTGTTGCCGTTATTACCTTAATTTATTAAATATCATGTTCTTCGACACTTAACCATAAAATTCAATTCAACAGCCAAGTATCAGAAAATAATTTTAAAAAGAGCGTATCTTTAAGAATTTGCCGATACATAGTGTCTCGCGCGCTGGAGATAAAAAGTTTTTTTTTTGAAATTTATTTATTTCAAATTTTCGTACAGTGTTGCCATTGCTCGCTTCAGTGAGCAATCGTTGGACACTTACGTTAATCAAAAATTCTTTAAATGTTTTACAAAATATGATAATAACATGGATAATAAATAAATTTCCAAATTCCAAATTTGGGCTTCCAGATGCCCATATTTAGAGTTGGAGGACGTAGGTTATTTAAAATTTGATGGCTTCTAGGTACCGTTGTTTTATTCACACTGTGAGAAACATGCGTGCACGTTCCACGCAGATTCTTCATTATTTAATTTCTTTAAATATAATAGAGTGCGATAATACTTGGTGGCAACGATTTGAAAAGTGAAACGCCATTTATCGTAAAACGCCACAAAATGGCAAAACGAAATTAACAGCCCCTCTGGGCTAAAATTTATTTTTAAAAGTATCACACTAGTAGTAGTACAGCTACTGAAAAAAATATTATAGAGCTATTTTATAGTTTTTTTATTATTATTATTATTTAATTTTTATTTTACAGTAGTGTGAATTTCGCATAATAATGAACGACATTTTTGTGTTCACAGTATTATTCGTAAGGCATTCAACTGTTAGATTTTAAAGTAAACGTAATTCTTGCTGTACATAATCGAGTAGAAGCTTATTGGATGTCTATATTTGTATTAAATGAAGAAGGTTTATGTGCTTGATAAACTTATTATCTTCTACATTTTTAAAGCGTACAATTACAATTTATATCTTATAATTTCGGAATAGTATAACCTTTCTTTCAGTAGAAATTGCGTTCTTGTTTTCTGAATGTGGCTCCAAATACTCTCTCAGTTCATCGCAAATTAAATAACTATAAAGTTTGGCAATCTGAATGCGCAATGAAAACATCTTTGGCAGGCAAAAGCATCAACATATTTTCTATAAATTCGCCACCGATTCAGAGATCTACGACCGTATTCTTCGTTTAAATATAAAAATAAGCGGCGAAAACACATATAAAGCCATTGTCTACTTAGTAAGTCAACTGCACAACCCTGATTGACGACGCGGCAACACTTTTTCACGCAATTTCGACAACTTCCGTACTCGGAGAATATAGGATGTCGAGCAGACCTGTTTTTTACTAGCAGCGACATCTGGCGGCCCACAACTTGCTGTCGACTCTCGTAGCGTAGAATAACCGTTTTGAGACGGCTATGAAGAAGCGTCGATATGAAGGTAAACAAACTCCTCTTCACCGGGAAAACTGGACTTGCAGACCGCGGTTGGCTCCTACGCCAACGGGCTATGGTTGAAAACATATTTTTCTCTATCTGTCTTGGGAAAATCTGCTTTTGCCTCTCGTGGAACAACTTTTAATACGCTAAACGCTAAACAACGCACCACCTCTAAAATAACTATTGGCTCAATTTAACTATAAATTAACATTTACCCAATAAAGCACTTACAGATAGAGGACAAAATAATGCGAACACCTGGGAAAAGGTATGACGTATTTCACACTTGCAATACAGCCATGCTACCTGCAACAGAAGTCTGCCACCTAATGAGCGCGAAGAGGAAGGTATCAGTCTCTCAACAGCAGTCATCTGTGTTGCAAGCTTCAATCGAACTGTCTGTGAGAAGTTGAAATGTCAGACCTGTCTAAGTTCCAAAGAGGAATGATAGTTAGAGCGCATTTATGTGGAGCATCGGTTACGGACACAGCAAACCTTGTGGGGTGTGCAAGGAGTACGGTATCAGCCGTTATGACAGCATACACGAAAAAGGGTAAGACGACGTCTTCAAAGCACAACAGTGGCCGAAAGTCAAAGCTGGGTGATAGGAATAGAAGGTCTTGAAGCGCATAGTAGCCCGAAAGCACAAGCAATTGTTATCCGAGATAACATCCGAAATGAACAGTCATCTCCAGGAACACGAAAAGCTTTTAAAATGTTGTCATTGAAGACCTTAGTGGCATGGTCAGTGTCCTGTTTGGTAGAAAGAGCATGGAAATTGAGTGCTGTTTAATCAGAATGTTGTGTAAACTGATCCAGTCACTATAGCTTTTAATAATTGGAGGGTCTTCTTTCTTAACACCAATAGTAGCGATAACTGGTAGATGATCGGAGGTAAGCTCAGATTTGACTTCAAGAGCGATGGGAATAGAAGTGTTAGAAAAAGTAATGTCCAAGATATCTGAGTGGCATGGGTTAGCTGGTCTATAAGTAGATTGAATCGGGACATGCAGCGCAATTGGGTGGTTACATACGAAGTTATGTAGAATACGCCTATTGACATTTGTTCGGCGGCATCCCCAGTCAGTATGTTTGGCTTTAATATCTCCAGCAATGATTATTTGTTGATCTTCTGGGAGTAAGTTTTTAAGCATGTTATTAGAGATTCTATGTTTAGGTGGATTGTAAATAGCAGTAAAATGTATGACTTCTTTATTTGGAAGCACAACAGCAGCTGTCACACTTTCATATCCGTCAGTATAAACTGAGGAGACGAGGCAAGATTGAATAGAGTTTTTTATAAGGATTGCAGCTACACCACGATGTTGCGTGGTTCTATCACCTCTGTAATTTGGCGCATACAATCTATCGGCAGGAATAAGAAATGTTTCCTAAATCATGCCAATGTTGCTTCGCTGTATCTATATAAACTATTCTGAAAGAGGGATATTACACTATCATTGGTTAATATTCTGCTTTATCCGGAATGTATTAATCTTAATTAAGTATGAGAAGCTGCAAAACAATTATATAATCTGATTAATCTAACTCTTACTATTATAATTACTGCTATAAATGCTATATTTTTCATAACTTCTTAATCTAGCATTTTATCACAGATAATAATGTAAGAAAAATGACCTACCTTTCTTCTGGTAGAATTCGCAACAATTTGTGAAACATCAGCCCAATATTCTTTTGAATCTCCAACACCATGTAAGAAGATAATGGGTGCCTTATCAGTAGCAGCCCCCAAAGGTTCAATTACTTTGTATGCCAGTTCTACAGGAACACAGCTGAAAATAAAAACAACTTCTTAGTATAATGTAAATGAAATTTATAATGTTTGCACACTTGAAATGTAATCAGAATATAAAGGAATTAGAATCAATAATTTGCTCAAATATAATTTTAATATTAAACAAAATATAGGGGAATACCTTGATTTTGTTAGAAGTAAATTCTTTTGTTCGATGAATTTAAGAATGTGTCATCTAACTCTAACTAAAAGTAAGGCCTGACACTACAAAATAAGTAAATAAATAGAATTAAGAATAGAAATAAATATTTTGGTTTTGATGAAAGGTAATTTTTTTTAAATGCTGGCATGACATATTAACTATCCATGCAATAAACACGCATGCGCGATTCGGAATCACTTTTTAGTTGTGTTCAGTTCGGATTCACTTTTTAGCTGGCAAAACGTACAGTGGTGGCCAAAATTGTGGAGACTTTTGGAAATTTTTATATTTTTGAACTTTGTATGCTTATAGAAAATGTTACGTTTCGCAAAATGCAAACTTGTATATATCATTTTAAAGAGAATTTATTACTGTATTCAATACGAAACACAAAATTCAATTATTTTTAATACAAAAAAAAAGTTATATGTACTTTAATATAAATAAAAAACACATTATGAAGTGGTTGTAATGTCTAGCTTCCTGGCCAATCACTGTTCTTGTTTCTGAGAACCAATCAAATGTTAGTAACTGCCAGTAGAAGCTAACATCATGTTTACACTTGAAACAATTCATTATTTTGCTTTGTCCTGTAGAAGGAGGACCTGTTTCTTATACACTACAATTACAAGCAGGAATTTTTGTAAAAACTTTTAATATTTAGTCAAGAAGCAATGACATTAAATAAAAGAGTAGATTGGACACCTAGAAAGAGATGTAATATTATTGTGTTACGAGAAAGTTGTCTTTCCTATGCTGAAATTGCAAGACAGGTGGGTGGTTCAGTGACTACATCTGGAGTCCGAAAGTTTTGTTTACGATATCAGGAGACAAATTCAATAAAAAACAAAGAAGGAAAAGGCCGAAAAAGGTGCACCACATCTATTGATGACAGAAGAATAAAACGACTATGTCTCCAAGATAGAAAAATGTCATCAGCGGCCATCAGAAGTTATCTGAATGATGCTGGTGTTTCTGTCAGTTCAAGAACAATCAGGAGAAGATTAACATATGTTGAACTGAGAGGTAGAATTCCACGAAAAAAGCCTTATCTTAATTTCAGCAACGAAAAAAAAAAAGACTACAGTGGCAAAGGAGAAATTGATTGGACAGATGATCAACAATTTATATGGAAGATGAAATTAAGAATCTTATTCGTGAAGCGAAATATTTTAGACTGAGGGAAGACTACATGCAGCACATTGATTGGACGATGATCAGTGGTCACAAGTTATATGGGAGATGAAATAAGATTCGTTATTCGGTAGTGATGAGCGAAAATATGTAAGACGTAGAATAGGAGAAGAGCTACATCCTGACTGCATTCAAGCAACTGTGAAGAACCCAGTTAGTGTTATGATTTGGTCATGCATGTCAGCAGATGGTATTAGTCGCCTTCATGTCAGCGATGGGACACTGAATGCCAGAAAATACATTGACACTATTCTAGAACCAAAACTTCTACCTTCCAACAGAGATCTCTTTCCCAACAATGCTTCGTTTTATTTTTCAGCAGGATTCTGCTCCTTGCCACACGGCCAAAATATCGAAAGTGTGGTTTCGTACAAAGAGCATTAAATTGTTGTCATGGCCAGGAAACAGTCCTGACCTCAATCCTATCGAAAATTTGTGACACCGTTTGAAAACTGAATGTTTTGTCTGAATGAGGCGCCCATCAAATAAAAGGGAACTAATTGAGGCTATAATTGTTTCCTGGCATCATGTAATAACGAAAGAAGAACTTAAAACTCTTGTCAGCTCAATGAAACGTCGATGTGAAGCTGTAATCAAAAATAAAGGGTACCCTACTAAGTACTGATAACTCACTGCAATCATCACTATCTAATGTATATCGATAACTATTATCGTTTAACTTTTTTGTATTGCAAATAATTGAATTTTGTGTTTTGTATTGAATTCAGTAATAAATTCTCTTTAAAATGATATATACAAGTTTGCATGTTGTGAAACGTAACGTTTTCTATAAGCATACAAAGTTCAAAAACATAATAAAAATTTCCCAAAGTGTCCACAATTTTGGCCACCACTGTATGTGTAACTAGAAGACGGAAGTCAAATGTCGCGAAAAGATTGTTTAAACATCCTGCATGCAAAGTTTACCTTTAAACCACTCACTTTTCTATTTTTTTATTAATGCGTCTGCACAGAGTTCAAAGATTGAAACCCTGATCGTGATAGGCGTAGCAATACAGTCGGCTGATTTATTAAGGCAAAACACACTAGGGCCTATTGGCTATAAGGGCAGGGATGCTATCGTGGAAGACTTTGAGGGAAAATGACTCAAATACACGCTGCACATGGGAAAAACCACGAAAACGCCAATGCAGACACGCCTGTTCAGCTGGAATTGAGCTCAGGTCCGAACTGTTGAAGGTATTCGTGGTTCATTTTTGTTTACTGTTACAACTTCGCTAAATCGAGACGAGCAGATGAATAAAACAGAATTAAAGTTCTTACCTTAATAAAGTGTAATCCAAGCTGCGGAGGTAGGAACACGATCATTGTATTAGCAAACAAATAACATATTATTAGGTATATGAAGGAAAAAATATCTAGAGATGATTACAAGCGTTGTTTACTGTCCATTGCATAACGCGAGAATTGAGTCATACAAGGAGAGAATGTTTCTCCTTGTTTTTTTTTTTTGGATCAAGTCCAATCACAGTTAGCGGGGGTGAGGGGGGGAACTAACGTCGGAGTTGTACAGCCTCATCGCTGTCGTTATGAATTGCTCCACAATCTCCCACTCGATGAGCTGTTCTGTCCACAGTAAGCCCGATTCCTTTTAATAAAAACTCCAGCTGTTGTCTGGGCAAAGGTTTTGTGAACATGTCTGCATACATCATTTTACTGTTGCAGTGTATTAATTTAACAATCCCTTGATTTTGTAGATCACATACGTAGTGATATTTCACATCGATGTGTTTGGTGTAACTGCTTCCTTTCTCTTTTTTGGAAAGATTTATGCATGATATATTGTCCTCGAATAAGATGTTAGCTTCCTGTTGAGCGAAACCTAAATCTCCCATCAGTTGTCTAATCCATTGTAGCTCCTGCAATGTTAAGGCTAGAGCGATGTATTCGGCTTCTGTCGAAGATAGGGCGACACAGTTTTGTTTCTTGCTTCCCCATGATACCGTACTGTTTCCTATTTGAAATACATATCCGGATGTGGATTTTCTGTCAGAGGTATCTCCTGCCCAATCAGCGTCACTGTAAGCTTTGATGACTGGTGCACCATTGGATTTTAGATGTAATTTGTAATTAATTGTAGCTCTCAAATATCGTATGATTTTAATGATACCGTTCCAGTCCGATGTTGATGGATTTTCTACTTTTCTGCTAAGTATTCTAACACAATTTGCTATGTTAGGTCTTGATACTGTTGCTAAATATAAAAGTGCTCCCACTGCTTCCCTATATTTCCGATTATCGGGAAAAACGTCATCCTGGTTGCTTTGGTTCTTCGTAAAATTCGTAGTCATGGGTGTATAGCTTAGTTTCTTTGGTGACTCTCCGTTGAATATTTTGATCATACTCCTAATCCTGTTAGCTTGATGAAGTTTCAAGCTTCCGTCTTTTTCTCTTTCGGTTTCAATTCCTAGATATGTAGATGCTTCTCCAAGATTTCAAATGTCGAAATGTTCTTTGAGAATTCGTTCAACTTCTTGAATTGATTCACACTTGTCGCTCTCAACTAATATGTCATCAACGTATATACGATTATGTAAGTTCTTGCGTTTTGTTCTCGATTAATGTGAAGGAACATAGATCAGCCTTTCCTTGAACGTATCCTTGTTTGCGCAGGATTTCAGCTATCTTTGTGATTCCAGTTTCTGGCTGCCTGTTTAGTCCGTAGATACATACTTTTATTCAGTTTACAGACTTTATTTGCTTCTGAAGCAGAGATGTAAGCCTTCTGGTTGCTTCTTATATATATCTTCTTTCAGATCTCCATATAGAAAAGGCTGTTTTTACATCGAAGTGATTTACGTGCATTTTCTTTTGAGCTGCCTATTGCCAAGATAGTTCTTATTGTGGTATACTTTACGACTGGTGCGAATGCTTCGTCGTACCCAAATTTTTGGCAATATCTTTTAGCTACTAAATGAACTTTATATCTGATAACATTTCCTGAAACGTCAGATTTTGTTTCCGATTGCCTTCTTTCCTTTTGGAAGATCGACTAGTTCCCACGTTTTGTTTCTCTTCAGTGCTTCCATTTCTTCTTTCGTGGATTTTAACCACAGTTCCTTTTCTTTGGTAGGAAAAGTTTGTTTGAAGTTCTTCCCAGTCTTTTGGGAACTTTGATTTCTTCATTCTTAGCCATGTATGAGAATCCGTTTGGTGGGATTCCTTTAGTCGTTCTGTGGGATCTTCTCGGTAATGGGGGAATTTCTCTCTGTTTCAATTACTTCCTCTGTAATATCATTTGGACGTGGTTCTGGTTCTGTCAATTTATTTTCTTTAAAGGGCCATTCTATTTCCTCATGCTGATGCTGATCGTTTAATTGACGAGGCATTTCTTCTTTTTTGTTTTTCATCGAATATTACGCTTCTTCTGATCACGACGTTGTTTGCATGTGGCATGTAAATTCTATATCCTTTAGTACGGTCACTATATCCGACAAGAATTCCTTTCTCTGCTCTTTCGTCTAGTTTGCTTCTTTTCTGCTTTGGAACTCGACATAAGCTGTGCTGCCGAAAACTCTGATATGGCTTAGATTCGGCTTCTTATTATTCCATAGTTTCATACGTGTTTTTTTTTCAACTGATCTTGATGGTAGCCTGTTTTGTAGATAGATGGCTGTCAT